TGCTTGCCCACACTTCTTCTTCCCTCACACTTATCCTTGCCCACACTTCGTCTTGCCTCACACTTTTGCTTGCCCACACTTCTTCTTCCCTCACACTTCTGCTTGCCCACACTTCGTCTTGCCTCACACTACTGCTTGCCCACACTTCGTCTTGCCTCACACTTAGCCTTGCCCACACTTCGTCTTGCCTCACACTTAGCCTTGCCCACACTTCGTCTTCCCTCACACTTCTGCCCCCGAACACTTCTGCTTGCCCACACTTATCCTTGCCCACATTTCTTCTTCCCTCACACTTATCCTTGCCCACACTTCGTCTTCCCTCACACTTCTGCCCCCGCACACTTCTGCTTGCCTACACTTCGTCTTTCCTCACAATTCTGCACTCCTCACACTCTTGTTCCTAACCTACATCTCTCACACTTCTCTCACACACTTAGTCTCCTCCCACACTTCTGCCTCTCACTTGTTGCACTCACTGTTCGCTTCCCAGCACACTTTTGTTTTATAGTTAGTCACACTTTAATTTCTCTTTTACTTCTCACACTCTTTCCTCTCTCACTTCATCTTCTCTCACACTTCTGCTTCCCCACACTTAATTTCCCCTCACACATCTACTTCCCACACTTCGTTTCCCCTCACACTTCTGCTTGCCCACACTTCGTTTCCCCTCACACTTCTGCTTGCCCACACTTCGTTTCCCCTCACACTTCTGCTTGCCCACACTTCGTTTCCCCTCACACTTCTGCTTGCCCACACTTCGTTTCCCCTCACACTTATGCTTGCCCACACTTCGTTTCCCCTCACACTTCTGCTTGCCCACACTTCGTTTCCTCTCACACTTCTGCTTGCCCACACTTCGTTTCCCCTCACACTTCTGCTTGCCAACTCTTCGTTTCCCCTCACATTTCTGCTTGCCCACACTTCGTTTCCCCTCACACTTCTGCTCGCCCACACTTCGTTTCCCCACACACTTCTGATTCTCCACACTCCGTTTCCCCTCTCAATTGTTTCCTCACACTTCGTCTCCCTTCATACTTCGTTTCCCTCACACTCCTACTTCCCAACACCTCTTTTCCCCTCACACTTCTGCTTCCCCACACTTCTTCCCCTCACACTTCTGCTTCCCCACACTTTGTTTCCCCTCACACTTCTTTTCCCCTCACACTTTTGTTTCCTACTTCGTTCCCCTCACACTTCTGCTTCCCCACACTTCTGTTTCCTACTTCGTTCCCCTCACACTTCTGCTTCCCCACACTTCTGTTTCCTACTTCGTTCCCCTCACACTTCTGCTTCCCCACACTTCGTTTCCCCTCACACTTCTGCTTGCCCACACTTCGTTTCCTCTCACACTTCTGCTTGCCCACACTTCGTTTCCCCTCACACTTCTTGCCAACACTTCGTTTCCCCTCACACTTCTGCTCGCCCACACTTCGTTTCCCCACACACTTCTGCTTCCCCACACTTCTTCCCCTCACACTTCTGCTTCCCCACACTTCTTCCCCTCACACTTCTGGTTCCCCACACTTTGTTTCCCCTCACACTTCTGCTCGCCCACACTTCGTTTCCCCACACACTTCTGCTTCCCCACACTTCTTCCCCTCACACTAATGCTTCCCCACACTTCGTTTCCCTCACACTTCTACTTCCCCACACTTCTTCCCCTCACACTTCTGGTTCCCCACACTTTGTTTTCCCTCACACTTCTTTTCCCCTCACACTTTTGTTTCCTACTTCGTTCCCCTCACACTTCTGCTTCCCCACACTTCTTCCCCTCACACTTCTGCTTCCCCACACTTCGTTTCCCCTCACACTTCTGCTTGCCAACTCTTCGTTTCCCCTCACATTTCTGCTTGCCCACACTTCGTTTCCCCTCACACTTCTGCTCGCCCACACTTCGTTTCCCCACACACTTCTGATTCTCCACACTTCGTTTCCCCTCTCAATTGTTTCCTCACACTTCGTCTCCCTTCATACTTCGTTTCCCTCACACTCCTACTTCCCAACACCTCTTTTCCCCTCACACTTCTGCTTCCCCACACTTCTTCCCCTCACACTTCTGGTTCCCCACACTTTGTTTCCCCTCACACTTCTTTTCCCCTCACACTTTTGTTTCCTACTTCGTTCCCCTCACACTTCTGCTTCCCCACACTTCTGTTTCCTACTTCGTTCCACTCACACTTGTTTCCCCACACTTCGTTTCCCCCACACTGCTTCCCCACACTTCGTTTCCCCACACACTTCCACTTCCCCACACTTCGTTTCCCTTCACACTTCTGCTTCCCACACTTCGTTTCCCCACACACTTCCACTTCCCCACACTTCGTTTCCCTTCACACTTCTGCTTCCCACACTTCGTTTCCCCACACACTTCCACTTCCCCACACTTCGTTTCCCTTCACACTTCTGCTTCCCCACACTTCGTTTCCCCACACACTTCCACTTCCCCACACTTCGTTTCCCTTCACACTTCTGCTTCCCCACACTTTGTTTCCCCTCACACTTATGCTTCCCCACACTTCCTTTCCCCCACAATTCTGCTTCCCCACACTTCGTCTCCCCTCACACTTCTGCTTCCCCACACTTCGTTTCCCCTCACACTTCTGCTTCCCCACACTTCGTTTCCCCTCACAATTCTGCTTCCCCACACTTCGTTTCCCCTCACAATTCTGCTTCCCCACACTTCCTTTCCCCCACAATTCTGCTTCCCCACACTTCGTCTCCCCTCACACTCCTGCTTCCCCACACTTCGTTTCCCCTCACACTTGCGATTCCCCACACTTCGTTTTCCCTCACAATTGTTTCCCCACACTTTGTTTCCCCTCACACTTCCGCTCCCACACACTTTATTTTTCCCCACACTTCGTCTCCCCTCACACTCCTGCTTCCCCACACTTCGTTTCCCCTCACACTTCTGCTTCCCCACACTTCGTTTCCCCTCACAATCCTGCTTCCCCACACTTCGTTTTCCCTCACAATTGTTTCCCCACACTTCTGTTTCCCCTCACACTTCTGCTCCCACACACTTTATTTTTTCCCCACACTTCGTCTCCCCTCACACTTCTGCTTCCCCACACTTCGTTTCCCCTCACACTTGTGATTCCCCACACTTCGTTTTCCCTCACAATTGTTTCCCCACACTTTGTTTCCCCTCACACTTCCGCTCCCACACACTTTATTTTTCCCCACACTTCGTCTCCCCTCACACTTCTGCTTCCTCACACTTCGTTTCCCCTCACACTTGTGATTCCCCACACTTCGTTTTCCCTCACAATTGTTTCCCCACACTTTGTTTCCCCTCACACTTCCGCTCCCACACACTTTATTTTTCCCCACACTTCGTCTCCCCTCACACTTCTGCTTCCCCACACTTCGTTTCCCCTCACACTTGTGATTCCCCACACTTCGTTTTCCCTCACACTTCTGCTTCCCCACACTTTTAACCTATCACACCTGATTCCCCAAACTTCCTCTCCTTTCACTCTTCTGCTTTCCCAAACTTCTTTCCCTCACATATTTGCCTCCCCCCCTCTACAGTCTCGCTACATACTCACTCACCTTTATGATCTCTTCACTCTTCTGTTCCCCTCACTCTTCTGTTCCAATGCGCTTCGTCTTCCCTTACACTTCTGCTCCCTCACTCTTCTGTATCCCTGCACTTCGTCTTCCCTCACACTTCTGGCCCACACTTTGTTTCCCCTCTTCTGCACCCCTGCACTTCGTTTCCCCCCCTTCTGCATCCCTGCACTTCGTCTTCCCTCACACTTCTGCCCCACACTTCGTTTCCCCTCTACCCTCTCACTTCTCCTCTGTCCTCACTTTTGCTCCTTTTGCATTTTTCTCTCATACTCGTTTTTCCTCACATTCCTACTCACCCAATCTATTACGATGTCACGCTTCTCCCCCTCCTGATTTCATTTTTTTTTCACACTTTTCCTCCCCTCTACTCGTTTGTTTTCTCACTCTTCCTCATTTTTTTCTCTCCTTACACTTCTGTATATATCCTCCTCCCCATACACACTTACACGCTTCTGTTCCTTTTACACGTCTGCCCTTTTGCACTTCCTCCTGTCACGCTTCTTCACTCACACTTCTCTTTCCCCTCAAACTTCTGCTTCCCCACACTTCGCCCCCCACATACTCTTTCTCACTTTACACTTGTTCCCAAATACTTTTCCCCTCTCATCTTTGGTCCTGCACACTCCCACTTCCTCATACTTTTTCCTCCTTCACACTCCTTTTATCCCATTCACACCTTTCCTCATCCTATGATCCCCTCATTTCCCCGCTCCCCTCACACACTTGGCCCTATCCCCAGCACCTTTGCTATCCCTCCTTCCCTTCCTCCCTTCTCTTCCCTTCCTCCCTTCTCTTCCCTTCCTCCCTTCTCTTCCCTTCCCCCCTCTCTTCCCTTCCTCCCTTCTCTTCCCTTCCCCCCTCCCTTCCCCCCCTTCCCTTCCCTTCCTCCCCTCTCTTCCCTTCCTCCCTCTCTTCCCTTCCTCCCTCTCTTCCCTTCTTCCTCCTTCCTCCGTCATCCTCACCATTTTCCTCTTTCCATCTTCACCCCCACCTCCTTCCTTCGCTCTCATCTTCTCTTCCCTCCTTACTTTCTCCTCCCTTCTTCCATCTTCCTCCTTCCCCCTTTACCTTCTACCTCCTTCGTCCTCGCCTCCTTCCTTCGCTCTCACCTTCTCATCTCTCCTTATTCTCTCCTTCCTCCTTCTTTTTCCCTTCCCCCTTTACCTTCTACCTCCTTCGTCCTCTCTTCACCTCAACTTACCTCACTCGCACTCTCCTCCTCTCTCCTCCTCTCTCATACTTCTGCTCACTCGGTCTTCCGTTTACCGTTTACTTTTCTCCGATTTCCAGTTCCTTCATTCTTCTGCTTATACACTTCTGGATCTCCATATTTATTCTCCTCTTTTTTTTCCACACTTGTACTTATTCATACTTCTGTTACCCCCACACTCTTTTCCACACCTCTACTCTTCTCTGCTCACACTTTTCTGTTCACACTTCTGTCCTTATTACACTTCTTTTACACTTTTGCTCCCAATATTTTTTTTTTACCTATAATTCTGATCCCACCACACTTGTCTGGTCACACTCACGCTCCTCCACACTTTTGCTTTGCTTATGTCACACTTTTTCTCCACACTTCCTCTTCTCCACATTTCTGATACACCTTACTGTTCACACTTCTTTTCCCTCCACACTTCCTCTTCTCCACATTTCTGATACACCTTACTGTTCACACTTCTTTTCCCTCCACACTTCCTCTTCTCCACATTTCTGATACACCTTACTGTTCACACTTCTTTTCCCATCACACTTTTTCCTCCACACTTCCCCTGTACGTCTGCTTCCATCATTCTTTTTTATCACTTCTGCTGTCCGACCATTCTACACTAAATACACTTTCTTATTCACACTTACGCTTCTCTACACTTAGCCTTTTATTCACAATTCTATTCCCTTCATATCCTTTCCTTCACACTCTCGCTTCTCTTAGTACACTTCAGTTTACACTTCTCCCATCACACTTTCTCTTCACACTAACGCTTATCCACAGTTCTGCTCTCAATTCACACTCTATTTGCACTTCTGTCACACTTTCATTTTACACTTCGTTTCCCGACACTCACACTACACTTACTGTTCGCACTTCTGCTCTCGTCACACTTTTTTTTCTACTGACTTCCGCTTCATCTCACTTCTTGCCCGTTCACACTCCGAACTCCAGTATCCCTCACACTTTTTTACCCCCCCCCCCTCCCACTTCCACGTCCCTTACACTTCTCTGCTTCTATCGCACTTTTTCCCGCACACTTATCCTGTCCTTTTCCTTCACACTTCGTTTTCCCGACACTTCTGCTCTTAATGCACTTTTAATGCACACTTCCACTTCTCCACACTTCTGCTCTCCCCCTCACGTGCCTGGTCTTCCTTACTTCATCATCCCTCACACTTTTTAACCTCCCCCCCCCATATCTCTCCTCACAATTCCCCCCCCCCCTCCCACTTCCACTTCCCTTACAATTCACACTTCTGCTCCAACCACACCTTTTCTTGCACATTTATCCTGCCCTAAATACACTTTCTATTCCCACTTCTGGTCCCAAATCACACTTCTTTTTCCCCCTTCACACTTCGTTTCCCCGACTTTTTGGCTCTTAATGCATTTTTTTCCCTTTCACACTTTTTCCTGCACACTTTCACTTCTCTGCACTTCTACCCTGCCCTTTCACACGTCCTCCTTACTTTAGCATCCCTCACACTTCACCCCCCCCCACCCATACACACATCTCTCCTCACACTTCTCCCCCTTCCCCTTCACCCGAATTCCTACCTACTTCACACTTCTACTTCCCCTACATTTCTTACGTCTTCCCCTATACACTTTCTTTCTTCACACTTTCGCCTATGCACACTTGTCTTCAATACACTTTTTTTCTCACTTCTGTTCTTATCACACTTATCATACTTCCGCTATATCACACTTCTGTTTCCGGTACACTTTCTATTCACACTTCTGGCCCCATCACACTTTTTCCTTCACATATCGTTTCCCGACGCCTCTGCTTTCAATACACTTTGTAATCACACTTTTGCTCCCGGTCAGACTATACTCTTCACACTTCCGCTTCTCTACACTTCTCCCATCATACTACGTTTCCCGACACTTCTGCTGTCACTTTTATATGCACACTTTTGCTCCCAACACACTTATCTGTTGACACTTCTGTTCCGGTTACACTTCTTACCCTGAACACTTCCGCGTCCTTACACTTCTTCTCTCAGTACTTGTTTCATTAACACTTCCACTTTCACACACTTCTCATCAGGTTTTCCTCACACTCCTCTTCCTCCTTACTTCAGCTTCCCTCACACTGCAACGCCTTCCCCTCACATCTGTTCTCCTCACACCCTCCCTATTCAACATGCATGTGTTTTCTCTATACTTCTCCTCGCATACACTCATGTTTAGAAACACTCTTGCCTACTTCATACTTATTCTTTCCCTCACTTCTACTACCCTCACACTTGTCATTTCTACTTCCCTCGCACTTTTTTTCCTTCACACTTCCGCTTCAGATTTATGCTCTTAGTACACTTTCTATTCACACTTCTCGTCGTTTCTCTCGTCACACTTTTTTCCTTCACATTTCCACTTCACCACATTTATGCTCTTTGTACACTTTCTATTCACGCTTCTGCTCCCGATGCACTTTTTTCACACTTCTTTCATCACGCTTTACTCAGTACACTTCCGCTTCCCCTCTTTTCTATTCGTAATACATCTTCTATTATCATTATCGCTTTCCCACACTCTCATTATGCCTCTCCCTCACACTTCTTGGTCCTCCTTACTTCAGCTTCCCTCACACTTATTTAACCCCTCACATCCGCTTTCCCCACACTCTCCCCCCCACTTGCTCCTTCACACTTCTGCTCGCAACCCCTCACATTAACTGCTTACTTTCACTCCCACTTTCTTCACACTTTCTTCCCTCATTTCTCTCTCACATATATCATCTTTGCTCCCCCCACACTTTTAAGTCTCTTCTCGACTATGTTCCCCCTACACTTCCCTTTTGACCTTAACTTCCCTCTCCTCCCCTCTCACTTCTCTCTTCTCGCCTCTCCTCTCCTCACACTTCTCTCTTCTCCCCTCCCCCCTTCACACTTCTCTCCCCCCTCTCCTCCCCTCACACTTCTCTCCCCTCTCGCCTTCCCTCACACTTCTCTTTTTCCCCTCCCCTCACACTTCTCCCCCCCTCTCCTCCCCTCACACTTCTCTCTCCTCCCCTCCCCTCACACTTCTCCCCCCCTCTCCTCCCCTCACACTTCTCTCTCCTCCCCTCACACTTCTCTCTCCTCCTCCCCTCACACCTCTCTCCCCCCCCTCACACCTCTCTCCCCCCCCTCACACCTCTCTCTCCTCCCCTCACACCTCTCTCTCCTCCCCTCACACTTCTCCCCCCCTCTCCTCCCCTCACACTTCTCTCCTCCCCTCCCCTCACACTTCTCCCCCCCTCTCCTCCCCTCACAACTTCTCTCTCCTCCCCTCCCCTCACACTTCTCCCCCCCTCTCCTCTCCCCTCACACCTCTCTCCTCCTCCCCTCACACCTCTCCTCCTCTCCTCCCCTCAACACTTCTCTCCTTCCTCCCCTCACACTCTCTCTCCTCCCCTCACACTTCTCTCCCCTCTCCTCCCCTCACACTTCTCTTCTCTCCCCCCTCTCCTCCCCCTCACATTCTCTCTCCTCCCCTCCCCTCACACTTCTCCCCCCCCCTCATCCTCCCCTCCACTTCTCTCTCCTCCCCTCACACTTCTCCCCCCCTCTCCTCCCCTCACGACCTCTCTCTCCTCCCCTCACACCTCTCTCATCCTCCCCTCAACACCTCTCTCCTCTCCTCCCTCCCCTCACCCTCTCTCTCTCCTCCCCTCACACCTCTCTCTCCTCCCCTCACACCTTCTCTCTCCTCCCCTCACACCTCTCTCTCCTCCCCTCACACTTCTCTCTCCTCCCCTCACACTTCTCTCTCCTCCCTCCCCTCACACCGTCTCCTCTCCTCCCCTCACACCTCTCTCTCCTCCCCTCACACCTCTCTCTCCTCCCCTCACACCTCTCTCTCCTCCCCTCACACCTCTCTCTCCTCCCCTCACACCTCTCTCTCCTCCTCCCCTCACACTCTCTCTCCTCCCCTCACACTCTCTCTCCTCCCTCCCCTCACACCTTCTCCCCCTCTCCTCCCCTCACACCTCTCTCTCCTCCCCTCACACGCTCTCTCTCCTCCCCTCACACCTCTCTCTCCTCCCCTCACACCTCTCTCTCCTCCCCTCACACTTCTCTCTCCTCCCCTCACACTCTCTCTCTCCTCCCCTCACACTCTCTCTCCTCCCCTCCCCTCACACTTCTCCCCCCCCTCTCCTCCCCTCACACCTCTCTCTCCTCCCCTCACACCTCTCTCTCCTCCCCTCACACCTCTCTCTCCTCCCCTCACACCTCTCTCTCCTCCCCTCACACTTCTCTCTCCTCCCCTCACACTTCTCTCTCCTCCCCTCCCCTCACACTTCTCCCCCCCTCTCCTCCCCTCACACCTCTCTCTCCTCCCCTCACACCTCTCTCTCCTCCCCTCACACCTCTCTCTCCTCCCCTCACAGCTTCTCTCTCCTCCCCTCACACCTCTCTCTCCTCCCCTCACACCTCTCTCTCCTCCCCTCACACTTCTCTCTCCTCCCCTCACACTTCTCTCTCCTCCCCTCACACCTCTCTCTCCTCCCCTCACACTTCTCTCTCCTCCCCTCACACCTCTCTCTCCTCCCCTCACACCTCTCTCTCCTCCCCTCACACTTCTCTCTCCTCCCCTCACACTTCTCTCTCCTCCCCTCCCCTCACACTTCTCCCCCCTCTCCTCCCCTCACACTTCTCTCTCCTCCCCTCACACTTCTCTCTCCTCCCCTCCCCTCACACTTCTCCCCCCTCTCCTCCCCTCACACTTCTCTCTCCTCCCCTCCCCTCACACTTCTCCCCCCCCTCTCCTCCCCTCACACCTCTCTCTCCTCCCCTCACACCTCTCTCTCCTCCCCTCACACTTCTCTCTCCTCCCCTCACACTTCTCTCTCCTCCCCTCACACTTCTCTCTCCTCCCCTCCCCTCACACTTCTCCCCCCTCTCCTCCCCTCACACTTCTCTCTCCTCCCCTCCCCTCACACTTCTCCCCCCCCTCTCCTCCCCTCACACCTCTCTCTCCTCCCCTCACACCTCTCTCTCCTCCCCTCACACTTCTCTCTCCTCCCCTCACACTTCTCTCTCCTCCCCTCACACTTCTCTCTCCTCCCCTCACGCCTCTCTCTCCTCCCCCACACACCTCTCTCTCCTCCCCTCACACTTCTCTCTCCTCCCCTCACACCTCTCTCCTCCCTCACACTTCTCTCTCCTCCCCTCACGCCTCTCCTCTCCTCCCCCACACACCTCTCTCTCCTCCCCTCACGCCTCTCTCTCCTCCCCTCACACTTCTCTCTCCTCCCCTCACACCTCTCTCTCCTCCCCTCACACCTCTCTCTCCTCCCCTCACGCTTCTCTCTCCTCCCCTCACACCCTCTCTCCTCCTCCCCTCACACCTCTCTCTCCTCCCCTCACACCTCTCTCTCCTCCCCTCACACCTCTCTCTCCTCCCCTCACACCTCTCTCTCCTCCCCTCACACCTCTCTCTCCTCCCCTCACACTTCTCTCTCCTCCCCTCACACTTCTCTCTCCTCCCCTCACACCTCTCTCTCCTCCCCTCACACCTCTCCCCCCCCTCACACCTCTCTCCCCCCCCTCACACTTCTCTCTCCTCCCTCACACCTCTCTCCCCCCCTCATCCCCCCCTCACACGTCTCTCTCCTCCCCTCACACCTCTCTCTCCTCCCCTCACACTCTCTCTCCCCCCCCCTCACACCTCTCTCTCCTCCCCTCACACCTCTCTCTCCCCCCCTCACACCTCTCTCTCCTCCCCTCACACCTCTCTCTCCTCCCCTCACCTTCTCTCTCCTCCCCTCACACCTCTCTCCCCCCCCTCACACATCGTCTCTCTCCTCCCCTCACACCTCTCTCTCCTCCCCTCACGCTTCTCTCTCCTCCCCTCACACCTCTCCCACCCCCCCTCACACCTCTCTCTCCCCCCTCACAACCTCTCTCTCCTCCCCTCACACCTCTCTCTCCTCCCCTCACACTTCTCTCTCCTCCCCTCACACTCTCTCTCCTCCCCTCACACTCTCTCTCCTCCCCCTCACACGTCTCTCTCCTCCCCTCACACCTCTCTCTCCTCCCTTCACCTCTCTCCTCCCCTCACACTCTCTCTCCTCCCCTCACACTTCTCTCCTCCCCTCACACCTCTCTCTCCTCCCCTCACACCTCTCTCTCCTCCCCTCACACTTCTCTCTCCTCCCCTCACACTCTCTCTCCTCCCCTCACACCTCTCTCTCCTCCCCTCACACCTCTCTCTCCTCCCCTCACACTTCTCTCTCCTCCCCTCACACCTCTCTCTCCTCCCCTCACACCTCTCTCTCCTCCCCTCACACTTCTCTCTCCTCCCCTCACACCTCTCTCTCCTCCCCTCACACCTCTCTCTCCTCCCCTCACACCTCTCTCTCCTCCCCTCACACCTCTCTCTCCTCCCCTCACACCTCTCTCTCCTCCCCTCACACCTCTCTCTCCTCCCCTCACACTCTCTCTCCTCCCCTCACACCTCTCTCTC